ATACTGGTTGCAAGGAAAGTTACTGGATTTGGGATCAGCTGGTGGCAGATCATTACAGTAACAAAGACAGTGCAATACAACCGGTGAAAAATAAATATATTAAAACGAAAGCATGAACATAGGCACATTGACCCCTTCTTTTTAAGCCACTTAAAGGAACTTCTAGAAGCCATGCTGGGAAAAATCATCCCAGGATCTCAAAGAACTGTTGCTAATCAGAGGAGGGACTATTTTTATTCATGTTATTTATTAGATTTTATAAAGTAGAGGAACTCAGGACAGCATACATTCTTCCTCCACTATACTTCCCCACAACCACCACCTGTGAGGTAGATTGGGCTGAGAGGGAGGGACTGGCTCCTAGTCTAACACCTTCACCACTATATCACACTGGTTATCAGCACTAATATAGTCTGATGATGCAATATATTTCTATTAGCCTTTCCCCCAAAGACCACATGAGGAATCTCCTCAGTTCCACAACCTGGGGTGCCCAGCAGCTAGCTTAATGACCAGGAAAAATGGGAGTTGTGGGTCCAGCTCCCACATCTGGAGAGCATCAGGTTGGAGAAGGCTGGTTTACACAGTTCCTCCCACCCAGTGTTCACACCAAAACCCTGGAAGATAGAACTGGATGTAGAAAAACAACTGACCCAAAACTAACAATAAAAATGGGTGGCTGGCTCAGAAGCTGAACACAGATCTTTGCAGTCTAAAGCCCAACCCTCCCACCTACCCAGCAGCCCTTTCTACCTTACCTGAAGGCCTCTGAATTCTCCTTGGATTTTTTTTGAACAAGATTTCGTTTTCATCAGCTGAAACTGCACCCTGCGTCTCCCCCAAGGCTTCCTAGGAAAGGATAAACCAACTTGATGTGATAGGAGCAGAAGCTGAGTCACTACTATCCTGCATTGCAAGCGGAAATACAAAGCAAACCTACTGCCCAGAGACACATTCAGCCACACACACCTTTTAACAAGGGCAATCGCAGTCTATTAAGTCCCAGCTAGACCCTAATTGCCCTTATTCTAGCCAAAAAACATGTGCCAAGCGGTATATCCCAATGCTCAGAGATGGAATCTTGGAAGAAGAGATTTCTGCCTTCCCCAGAACACACGCATACATGCTCCCCCAGGAAGACCACCAGAACTTGCTATTCAGGCATCAGTTAAACATACGCTATCTGAGTCGGAGTGAGGAGTCTCCCTAGAGGAAATGGGAAGGGTTAGGCTGGAGACCTTGGACCCTGAAGGGTTGAGACTTTTCATCTTCTCTTGGCGAGGGCTGCAAAAATAAAAAACAAACAAACAGAGAATGCAGGATGAAATATCTTAGATCAAACCGAGATGTCCATCTGGCTCAGCTTCTTAGTTCCCCAGGGGGACCAGATGTTTCCAGCAGAATATCAAGTTACTGCTCTTATTCCATCTTGGACACGAAGGTTCCACTTTTGGCTTCTTGCCATGATTTGTATCCTGCTTCCCCAACACAATATGATCCCAGGATGGCATTCATTAGAAACCAATCCAGACATGAAGATACAAGTTCAAAAACCTAACACCACAATAGGGAAACAGAACCTTAAAAAGTAACCATTTAAAAAAAATAGAGAGGACATACAGAGAAGAAAACCACTACTTCTTGTTCAGCTAGCATGGCTGACAAGAGCCGCCTAGAATTAGGAATCACCATCACTTGTAGTGGCAGAGAATTCCATAGCTAAATTGTGAGATATTTTAAAAATTTCTCTTTCAATTATGGGATCTCCTAATCTTGCAGCCCTCCTCAATTTCACTCAAATTTACATAATGAAAGCAGTATGCAGTTTAGCATGATGTGTTAATCTAGTTAGATATGACTATGTTTGCACAGTGTACTAACCAATGTTTTATTTAATTGTGGTTCACTGAATCATTCCCAATTAGATGCACAATTAGGTTCACTGAATTATGCACAATTGGGTTTACACAACATCTTAAACAAACCAAGATTGCAAACCACATTGGCTGAAACCAAACATTGCTAAGCCACCAATAATCACAGTACTTTATCTTAGAGGGTGGTGTGAACTTAGTCTACCTATGTTGGGGGAGAATTATGCTTGCAGTGGTTTTCTGTCTGTCCCACTCCCTTGCTAACTAAACCTTCCTTGCACCCCTCACTCTTCCTCAACAGATTTAATTGACAAGATCCCTGAGGTCTTTCTGACCTAGATCGAGCAGAAGTGGGACCAGAGATCGGACGCAAGCCATCCAGGCTCATGTTCTCAGTAGATTCCGTGTCACTCTTTGGATCCCGTAGCTCAGAGGAATCGGAGATCAACCTGGAAGAAAACAACCTAATCAGATCGGCAGCAAAAAGAACCCAGATCATCATGACCAAGTCCAACCAGTCTGTGCAACTTTATCAATCAGGGACCACACAGAAAGAGAAGCGATGCTGCTAAACGATCACTCCCAGCATGTCTCACCATTAGCTGGGGTGGCTGGAAGCTGTCGTTTAACCACATCTGGAGAGAACTAGGTTGGGGACAGTTGATTTGTAAACCCCTCAATTTTGTTAAGTACAACAGTAGCCATCTGTTTGTGATCTTCACCACTATCACTGGCTCTGAAGATCCTAAAGAAACATCCTGCAGCAACAGCCCAGCTCTCCATGAAAAACCAGCAGATGGACTGGTGGTGGCACAGACCTGCTGAACCATTTATTCTAGGCACTGCGAGCAAGGGTGCAAGGAGCAATGGATCTCAGATTGCGCAACCCTCCTGGAGCAATGCGGGGAGAAAGAATCACCTGGGTTCCTTGCGTTGCTGCTGAGGACTTTTCCGGGCGGCTTCAGAGGACCTTTGGGGATCATTGCGTTGGGCTTTCTGAAGAAGAGCTTGGCTTGCTGTCTCTCTTTTGTTAGCTAAATGACCAGAGGAAAACAGTTGTCAACACACAGGCCAGAAACCACATAGCACATTAAGTCATTATTTAAATGTGGGGTACTGAATAACCCAACGTTGGCTGGGTTCCTACATTGCAGTAAGCCTCCAATCCCAGTTTACAAGCTGCAAATGGCTGCACTCCTGCAAGACACTAAGCCAACAGCAAACAAACCATGTCTGACTCTGCTCACAGAGAACACAACACTCCAAACCTCCCCACAATTAGAACTGAGAAACTGGAAATAAGGAAGCTAACACCAGTCACCCCATATTCATCACAGACACCCTCTGCATTTGGCAACCTTCTAGGCTGTGCACCTACATTGTGCTAAGCTATGGTTCGTTTCATTAGAGGTTACTGAATGAATTATGATTGGCTGGGCTTGCAGATATGGGAACACAAAGCCCAGCAAAGTAAGTATCTGGGTTCCCTGGATGAGTGAACCCAAACCAATCATATCGGGCAACTAGTTTTCTCCTTACATTATTTAGAAACTTGAACTTGCAGGTTTTGAATTGCTCAGATACCTCCCCCAAGATGGGGCTAGAAATGGTCAGCAGGTAGGAGTGCAAGGATGTCATCGACAACATGAGCAAGAAAGAAGAGCTGGTTTTGTCTGGAGAGATTCAAACGGGATGAAAATGATAATTGCCAAATAAGGAAGAGGACTAATATCTAACCCAGTGTTTCTCAACCTTGGCTACTTGAAGATGGGTGGACTTCAACTCCCAGAATTTCCCAGCCAGCCATGAGTGTTTCTCAGCCTTGGCTGCTTGAAGATGGGTGGACTTCAACTCCCAGAATTTCCCAGGCAGCCATGCTGGCTGGGGAATTCTGGGAGTTGAAGTCCACCCATGTTCAAGTTGTCAAGGTTGAGAAACACTAGTCTAGATTGTAAGTGCTGCAAGACCAGATTGCATACAGATTGAATCCAATTGACAGCATCACGATCTCTAGCAGCAGCTACCAAAAGCTTTAAAAGAAATCTTAGAGCATTAAAGGAATTGGCAGGGAGAACTTTATATACATTTCTGAAATTATAGCTACTTAGAATTGGAAAATACTGGACTTTTATTCCAGCTAAGAACCAGAGTCAGAAAGTGCTTTCAGACAAAGAAGCCCCACCCTGTGGTTTGCGCCGAAGAGATATTCGGATGATGTCACTGCCCAGTCGGGGAGCAAAGCGATGCAGCCTTTGATCATAGAACCAGTCCCCAGTGGATTTCTTCAGCTCCCTGCGGGGGGGGGGGGGGGGGGGGAAGAGAACCACAACCATTTCTAAGAGTATCAATCACCACCCCACCCCAAAGTCTGTTTGATTAACTCAAGTGTGACATGTACATTAGGTGAAATGACCATGCAAATACCATCATGGGATAAGATCTAAGTGTAGGACAGGGGAAACCTGGCCTGGTCCACATGAAATGGATCACCCATCCCTCTCAACATTCTGCAAGTCCCTCAAGACCTGGCTATGTGATCAGGCCTGGGGATCCCAGGGGACCAGGGAGATTTTGCAATGGCTCCCTTATTAATATTATCCCCTCCTGTTTTGTGGGCTTTTATAGTTATTTTTACCTGTAATTGTTTTTTATGTATTTATTCTTTTTAATTATTGTATGCCGCCCAGAGTCACTTTTATGCGAGATGGGTGGCTATATAAATACGATGGAGGGAGGGAGGGAG